AGACAAATCATCTTTAACCTTTAATTTAGTTCATCTTTTTTTATGTTACTAAAATATTATATTAAAGTGTTAAAAATAAACATTGGAAAATTCTTTAAAACCCATAGAAAAGTTAGATAAGTTAAATAACATCTTCAAACAGCATCTAAAAAATATTGATCTATAAGTTTTATATAAAAATCAAAGGATAAATACAGGCTGTTGTTTTCATCAGTGCACGCAATCAATATTTTCGATTTAAGACTTCTTAAAAAGGTCAAGCAGGCCGAAACTTTGTTCACAAATCGTTTTAGTTAAAAGTTTGTCATACGACTTTAATATTCGTATCAAAAAGAAAGTTTTTTACTGCGGTTTTACTTTTCATGACTTGTGTTTGCGTGCAAATAACTGGCCATAACATAGGTTTTATTGATTTTCTATAACTAATATTACTATTAATATTCCATTGCCCATCTCTAATTCAATCGAATATGTTTGTAGTAGACCTGAGCGCCGCTTTATACATATTTTCGTGATCAGACGTCAGTCCCCGATTATCACAACTGCAAATCAAATGCTACAAGTCGTCGTCGTCGTCATTGTTATTGTTATTTCTATTGCCATTGCTGTGTCTGACTGTGCCACTCATGCAACGTCTATAATTGCCGCCAGTCGCCCCAAGCCCCCGTCCTCCACTCCTCCACTCTACATTCCCGGCACCCAACTGGCCATTCAACACTTGTCAGTCAGGGGCGTTCGTGCGCATCAGTCTGAACTGAACTTAACAATTGTTTCGCCTCGATTTTTCAGTTTTTACGGTCAAAGTTGACTGACAGTTAGTCAGTCCGCCAGTCCACCAGTCCATCAGTCATTGAGAGAATGTCAATGTGCGTTGCATTCAATTATTAAAATTAGCTCGCAGTCTCCGCGCAGCTCGTCCGTAATTGTAAGATTCAGTTAGCCTACAATTGAACTTGCTTTTAATTACATGTCGACGATTTGAAACTGAGAATGAGGCTGAGGCTGAGACAAAGACAAAGACACAGGCGCAGCCAGAGATATGGAGAGAGATAGAGAGAGGCCAGACGATATACAGATTGTCTCAAGTCGGCTCACATTTGTGGGGTTTCAGTTTCAATTTGGCTTTCAATTTAGCGTCGGGTGAAGGGTCGCCAACTTGGGCGTGCAGACCAACTTTATATATCTGTATATATCATTGTATGACTGTGTAGGTATGTGTGTGCTATTAATAGAGACCTTGAGGTTGGTTATGAATGGGCGTTAAGCTGAATGTTCAGAGTAGACCAGCAAAGGGCTTGAAAACTGACTGCGACTGTGGCAGATCCATTATAAAATAGTTAATGCTAGTTATGCTAAGTGAAAAAAAGCACAGAAACTAGTGATGCAAGACAGCTTAGAGGTGTTTTTTCTATCCACTATATATATGTTGCATGGGAAAGAAAAACTTTTGGTACTGTTTCTTCATTGTTATTAGGAGAAGTAATTGTTATTATTTTTATGATACTTCTTTTTCATTCGTAGTTGTTTTTGATTTTCCTCACAATTTACACGCTGCGATCTTCTATGTTGCAAGCTCGATGATGTGAAGTTGAACGAAGCCTGAACGTTCAACTAGGATCAGAGAAAACATTTACAATACAAGCTACCTAGACCTAGAACGTGTTTTCCAACAGTAGGTATGCATTGCATTCCAAGTCTGTAATCTGTAATGTATAACATACGATCTTAGCTGGCTGCTAAAAAATTTCTCTGCCATGTCAAATAGTTCAAGAGATGCCTATAATTCCATCTTAGCTTAACTCTGAGCCTGGGAGAACTATTTGCTGCATTTGAATGCAACTAGCCTTCCCCGCCCCCTCCCTTCATCTATCTAAGATTGTACACAACAAGGAGTCTTGTAGTGTACTCGTATTGCGTTTACCTGAGCTGAGCTGAGCTGAGCGGAGACTACCTTCGTTAAAATGCTGGGCCACTAAATAAAATCATTAAAAATAATGAACGCACTTCCGCTCCAAACGCGCCGCCTAGCCAGTGAGAGGCCCCTTTTATTTCAGGCTACCAGGCTCGGCCAGCCTTAGAACTTTACACAACATTAAAATGAGGCAGACACAGAGAGAAAATGCCGCACAAATTAAAAGGTGCGCGCTCCTCATCGTCAACCTATCGGGAGTGCTGTGCGGAGCGGTGCGGTGCGGCAGACAAAGCAATTGCAATTACATATGTAAGATGGCTGGTTGAGTGGTAAGACTTGGCCGGAGACCAAAGACCAAAACCGCCTAGATCCGAGACTCTTGAATATCGAAAAAAATAAAAATAAAAAGATGTGGGCACAGCACGGCTCAGGCAGTGGTTGGCAGTGGCGGCGAACGGAAATGAAAAGCGCACCGCAGTCGCTGTTCACAATGTGTATCTGTATCCATGAAACAAACGCGTAGAAACAAAAGCGCGGCTGGTTACTTGATTGTGGGGGCTGGACGACACATATAAATTAACAATGAAGGCAGACACCGATCGACATGCCAGGCGATCGATCGAATTCAAGCACAGTGACCGCAATTTTTGCTATCAATTTATACAATTTTTATTAAATTATTTTATTCTATAGACAGAAATCAAAATTTGTATGTTGACAGCAAATAAAGTTGCAGTATTTTTCGTAGCATCAGCCAATTAGGTGGAATAGTTCATATTACTATACATCAAATTTGGAAAATATTGGCGTGCTTTCTACAAGTATTTGCAGTTTTTATTCCAATAAAAAACGTTACAGCAACATAGGCTTTCAATATTTCCACACTTAAATCATTTAAAATACAGTGCATTAGACATCATTAAGCTCATCTGTTCGTTTGAACGTCTGAACCATTCGCATAAGGAACGCATTGCAGTTACAGCCTTTAATTTTTTATTAAATTTAATTTTTAAAGAGAATACGCTTCCACAAACAAAAATTTGTAGAAAAAAATTTAAAAAAAAGGTCAAAAATAAATAATATTAATAATTAAAAATAATAATAATGTTAGTAAGTTCGTAATTTACTGGATCCAAAAACGTGGTATACTTAATTATAATCTACAAATACAACGCTACATATAAATAAAATAAGCTCGTTTGTCCGTTTGAACGTTTGAACATTTATATTTTGAAAAGTATATCTGCTAGAGTTCTACTGTTTATATATTAAACAAACAATACTCAAATATAATGCAATAAAATTTTTCCTAGGAGTTATGTGCAAATCGTTAGGTCTGTTTAAATGTTTGAACGTCCGAACCTATCTATTTCTGTCAAGCCTGGAGCTAAAGTCAACAAACTTGGTTCTTAGCATCTCAATAGCTTGAGGAAGGTATTGATTAAATTCCCCACTGTGCAGCGCAACATTTTTGTGCAATGCAGCGTACGTACAGCCTACGCCAAAAGCTCATCGCCATTAGCTTATGAATGAAAAGAAGTTTTGATTGAAAACTAATGGGAAACCAAAACAAAACCAAACAAAAAAGAAAACTTTCAAAATCTAGCACAATTTAAAGTGTAACTTGCACGTTTTGGCGTATTAGTCGAACAACTATACAGACAATTGTATCTGTATCTTTTGGCTTGGCCTCTTCTTGTGTACATTCAACACACGCTGTGGAAACGGTGGCTGGTGGCTAGTGGCATGCTGTGGCAGTAAAGTGCAGAATCATGTTGTTAAGTTTATTAGCCATACTTTGCTTTATTTACTAGGCATTTGGCCAACTCGCTCGCCTCAAACGTCATTAATTGAATGGCGCTACAAGTGCTACAAAATGGGGTCGTGCCCAGAACTTTCCAAAGCAACTAAAAACTGAAAAGATAAAAAAAGAGTTAAGGAGAAAAGTTGGCATATATTGGCTAAAGTTACGCAGCGAAGGCAGCGGCAGCTAAACAATTAGTCAAGTTACGATTCACAGATACTTTTGCATTTCAAAAAGCTGCAACAGGGAACCACCAACAACAACACCAACTACGATAGTGCCAAGAATAAAAAAAGCATAACTGCGCTAACCTGTTTCAAGGCAATTACCAAACCCACTTTTGCTTCGCCACACAACACACAGACACACAGACAGACAAACAGACAGAGATTCAGACAAGACAAGCATAAACACATTTTGTAGTCGATTCAGAATGTATCTTAAGCTGTGGCAGCTGGCAAGGCGGCGCGTATCTTGTAGATACAACAATGAACGCTTGAACAATTGCTTGATTCATGCGACCGAATTTCAAAGTGGTTGAGCGGCCAGTTTGTTGAGATACATTCGTACAATGTCGTAGTATCTGAAATCTGTACTATGCTCCTCTGCGTGTTTTTTTTTTATTCTTTTCTCTTTTTTTTTATTCGTTTTATGGTGTGTTTGCCCACAGAAGTTTATCAACATTGTTGTTGTTTTTATTTTCCCGCTGACGCATCTTTGAGATACAAAACTGCAGCCGCAACCACAATTGAGCCACTCAAGTATCTGCCGCTCTCGCTCAAACAGTTGCTTGATTGCTTCTGATTGAGTTTTATTACTGAAGTTGATTTCGATTTCGATTTTTTTGCTGTGACAAAACAATCGTTCGGTTTGTTTTGATTTTTAGCCATCAATTCCACGTTCAGCTTTTACTGAACGCTTCGGAGTTCGACAGACGCGCAATATGTTTTCATTTTCTACAGCTTATAATTGCAACAACGCATTGAATCATTTGCTGTTAGTTATTGCTATATATATATATATATATATGTTTTTTCTCTCCTTAATGAGTCGCGGCCAATCAACTGAAAGTGATTTCGTTTTTGTTGGCTTATTGGTTTCTGCGTCATGTGGTGGTGGCATGCGTGAAATCTTTAATAAGCTGCGTGTGAATTAGTGTTTGGGATTTCCGCATGCGGCAATCTATACTTGTACATATGTATATGCAAATGCATTTGAAAAGCAGTCCATTGAAAGCGAAAAGTCTTACTAATTCGCCTTTTCCCTCCACTCTTCTCTTTGCAGCACTACAAGGCCGAGAGATATTTGCTGGAGGCAAGCGTTTATTGGTAAGTGTTAAAAATGTCTATTGATTTTCTTTCAAGTCGATGGAAATTGCATTTTGTTAACCAATACTATTTACGTTTTAGGTATTATTTATGTAGATAGCGATACTGTAGTAAATTAATTTTATTAAATTTATGAGGATCTTTTCTGCCCCACCTATTCCAGTTTTTTTTCTCTTTGACGATTACGAAAACCCCCCTTAATAGTGACCAGTAAACAGGGTTATACAAGCAGCTAAATTATGCGAATATTTAAGAGAGTTGGCAACAGCCAAGGCTCTTAAATGGCCCCCAACCGGTTCGAACACACTATACATAACTCTCATGTTATTTGTTCTGTGAACTTGCGGCTTTTTGCAAACTCACCCAGACATTTCTGGAATAGCGCAAAACGCACAACGCTTAAGGCTTAAATGTGTGTCAATTAAAAATAAACAAAACAAATAGATCGTCGCTTACATAACTGAATACATTTTGTTACTGTCGTTTAACTAATGTGCAACAATTGTGAGTACCTTTGTTCAGATGTTCGTTCAATTAAGCTTGGAGCTAAATCACTTGTTGTTTGTTGTCATTACCAGCAGATATACATATATACACGTGCACATATATATGTTTGTATACTCGTACATACCTATATGGCTATAGTCTAACTGTTGCGCAGCATTTAAATGTTAATTTGTGGCACTGACGTCGTCAGCACGTTTTTATTTTCTTCCCTGTGTGTGAGTATGTTTTTTTTTAATTGCAACAAACAAACTACTTAGTCGTTGCTGTCCCTTCTCCCGTTTCAACGGCCTTCCATAAGAGGGTCCGCTGTTGTTTGTGTGTAATTACCACACATTTAAATGTTGGCCTACTCTGTGCGCCTTAACCTTTAACAGGTTTTTTATTTTTGCCACCGCCGCGGCCGCGGCCTCACATATGTACATATGTATCGATGACATGGCGAAATCCCACCGGCCTGTTCCCACTCTGTCTACAGCTGTTGTTGCTGTTGCTGTTGTTTTCTTTCTTCAGACCAGACCGAAACTGTAATTCCACGCAAAATGAGGTCGCGACCCGTGGCTAGCAATGGGCGCACAAGTTTTTAAATGGCGCCTACTGGTCCGGCATTTGATTCGGTCGATTTTATGCAAATTCTTATCATTAGGCCTGCCTCTGTAATCATTTCACGCAAATTGCTGCCGTTCATAGATTAGCCGATCTCTTATATAATTTCAATTTTCATGCACGACCGCCCGCGAACATCGATAAATTCGTTTTTCATTTTTCCATTACTTTATTTTTGTCCAAATTAAAAACCCATTGCGCATTGTGAAATGACAGCGATTGCACAATAGCCGGTGTATACGAATAAATATAGCAGCTATAATTTTAATAGAAGCACCCATAAAGATGATGATGATGATGATTGACCAGCGCACGATACCGGCAACGACAATGCAAAATTTTTGTCACAGGAAATAAATTTGCAACTCGACGACAGCCACAACGAATAATTCAAATGCGCGTGCACAACAAATAATTGTTTGAGAACATGCGGTGTTTATTCGCGAATGATTACATCTTTTATACTTACCTATTACTACTAATATTGTCAGCCAGTAAATTGCGTAGTCTGTTAGGCAATGCAGTATGTCGTTTAAGCGGAATTATCAGAATGAGGTATATTACAAGTAAGCTATTTTGAACTGAAAGCAAAGTGTAATTTTCTACTCGATTATATATCTTTATCGTAATCTTACCTTTCTAAATATGTCGCAATACACAAATACGTCTAACGGTAATTCCAAAACACATTATTTACCTCATCTATTCACTTGTCTGGTACGCCCTGTATTGGAATAATGTTGATGAATCCGATAGTCGCAGCGTTAACTTCTAAAAGGGGGGGGGGGGGGGGGGGGGGCAAAACTGATAAACTGGACACTACAGAGCTCGCTTGAGACATGTGTTGTTATCTTAATTTAGTTCAAATTCTGGCTTTTCTGTAACAACAGATAAATTGTCGAACTACCAAGTAACTCGCTTACAACTATATTTGTTTGATTGTAGATTTCGTGGTAAGTTCCAATTTTCCAATTTTATGATCATTATATTTTTTGTTACACAATTTTCGTACTTCGTTGAATTGTTTTTTAAATGATTTTATTTACTTGCATTTTAATGACTTAAAACAAAGATCTTTCAGATGTCTCGGATTGTACAAAATGAAGATAATGTTGAAATTTTTAATAATTTATAATACTTATTTATTTACTCGAATAATGCTAACTGCTGAGCATAAGATGTTCCCGAGTGTCCCGTGTCTTCTAATTCTCAAGTTTCCTTTAAATGTAGTCTGGCTCTGATAAAAGAATAGTTCAAATATAAGAGGTGGTGCCCCAACTATTATCTGTCTAAGATAGAACAACTAATCCACAGTCAGCCTCTTCCCCCCACACCTCTGCTTATCTTGAAGCTATCGATGAAGAGAATATTACCTCGCATTCCTTTTATTGCTAATTTAGACGATTAATCCGAAAAGATCTAACATAGAATTGTTTTTATCAAATCTAAACATTTGAGCCACAATTAGCAAAGTGTCCTTTTTCTCAAACCTAAGTATAGATTTTGAAGTTAGCACTTAAAGTAAAATTCTTTTATTAAAAATGAGGGGACAAATTTTTAACTTGACGGGCTTGGATAAATCAAGATCTTTCTGCAGTCAGCAGCCAAAAAAAAACAAATACATAGCAAAACAATAACAAATAAAATTTTAAATTGGAAAGCAACTAAACCCATCGACACCTTTTAAAATGGTCGTTTAAACACAGTAAATTATTTTTACATTTAAAAACTGCCTCGTCAGGAATGACGAAGCCAAGCCATTTCTAATTTCTTTCTGAACTCAGTTCCCAAGTCGCAGTTTATTCGAAAGATTGTTGAAAGAGTTGTGCACAACTTGGAAACTTTGAATGCTGACAAAGTTGTGGCCATTATCTTGAGCATTATAAGCGGCTTAAAGCGTGACAACTTCCTGCTTTAAGCCAACTATTTAAGCCACATTTCAATTAGGCATTTTCTATGCGCGCGACAGCCGCAGCTTGCTAAGGCATTTTCTTCAGAATTTCCTATAAAGCTGCCTTTAATTTTAATAACAGATAAGCCCCAAACACAAATCAACCACAAGCACGTCGATCACACATATATACGAGTATATATATATATGCTGTACGTTAACTGCTTAAATAAACTTTGAACTTGGCTTGAACAAAAGAACAACAGACATATTGCCCCACGAAGCCATTAATAATACAAATTTATTTTTTACGCACAAATCCAAAACCAAATAAATTAAGCAATTTTTTTTCCGCATAAATTATTTATCAAACGATTGAGAAATGGCGACAAGGAGAAAAGTAAAAAGCAAATAAACGTCAGCAAGTTATGTTTATTTATAAAGCAAATTTAGCTGCGGTTTAATAAAAAATTAAAGAAATCCAATATTGCTGGATTACCGCAACAAAACAAAAAAAAAAAAACGTCAAAGCCACTCCCTCCCAATCCTGCTCTTAATATTTCTAGTATAAAGCCATAAAGACGGCTTAATTAAATTATCATAAATAATTCATTAGCTCCTCTATAAAGAAAACAAACACAAATTTCTTGCCTGCATTGGTGAGTTGCAAATTAATTATTACAAATTAACAGGCGTGCGTCTTAAAAAAAAATACAAAAAAAAAAAAAACAAAACCGTCAAGTCAAGTGGCGTTAAAATGGAATTCGCCAAATCCGTCACTTAAACGCAAAAAAAGGCATAAATGCTGACGCAAAATTGGTGGCCAATCATGCTCTGCCCCCCTTCGAGAATTTGTTGCCAAACGGCTTAACAAATTTATAATTACCCAGCTGTCTATTCTCCATAATTCTACCACTCAATTGGCTCGAAGCTGGCGCTGCCAAACAGTAGTTGGCCAGTTGGGGTTTTTTTTTTTTTAATTTTTTGGCATGTGCCAAACAAATGGTTTTGTGAACTCCAGTTAAGCACTTTTACTCAAAGAATTTCTTGTTTAACTCTCACTGACACATCATGTGGAAGCTCAGCCTTAAGCCCCCTCCGTACGTGCCGTGTCAGGTGAAACTGAGCCGACACTTCATATATATCTTCACGAACAATTTCAATTGCCATAATGTCTAGTGAAATGGAGAGCGCGAAAGACTTTTACTTGCAATTACTAACCAAGAATTTGTGCCATAACACATGCGAGTACGTTTCAGAAATTGACAGCACAATTAAGTGGCTTAATGTATTAGCCAACTAGCAACTGCCAACTGCCACCAGCTATAGCATCATATAACGATACACGGAAGCGACAACACACACTCCTTATATGGCCAACATATCATAACTTTCGTTGCGTGTCGCACGGCTGTCGAAATTGGTGACTGGGTTTGTGGTCTGTCTGTGGCTTGTGTGTTTCATTTCTTTCCATTCCGTTCCAAAGTCTGAGCCAAGACCCGGCTGCATTCACTGCACTGCCAATTTGTACAACAACACGGCTAACAAGCCGGGACCGCTTGTCATGAAAAGCGTTTAACTCGTTTAATGGTCGGAACGAGTATCCAAAAACAAAAGCAAGAAGAAATCTAAACGAAAATAATTTTTAAAATGCTTGCGCGTTGACTTACGATTACAAGTACGACGATGAAAACAACACCAACAACCACAATTTTAATTGAAATTGCTTAGTGCTTGGTTTAATTTCTTTCATGTATTTTAGTTGCTGCTAGTATGTACTATACACTGTTCAAAAATACGTGATGTTCTAAACTAGTTTAAACTTTCAAACACGAATTTAAAGCATAAAGAAACTTTACTTGGAAATAAATATGAAATCACAAAAACGAGATATTTTTGCTTTTTCATTTCTTTGTCACTCTATTTGCTTCAATATTACAAAAAATATAATTTAGAATTTAAAAGGGACGAAATCTATAGCACATTTTCCATTTTAATT